ATTATGTATAAGGTGGTAGTCCCAAACATTACTTGATTCCTCCGGTCCCATTACAATTAGTTATACTAGCATTTCTGTTCCCCCATTCAACCACAGGGGCTGGGTGATTATGAACTAGAGCCCACCTCCTTGTAGTAGTACCTCATTAGCTCAAAGTGTTTCTCTGTTTTCTCTCGCCGAAGCCGGTGGTCATCCCTACCACTGTTTCCTGCAAGACAAGAGCACATAAGTTATGTATGAATGAGATATCGCAGCGCCTCATACACCAGAAAGCATTTCTCAGGCCTTAGGAACTGTAAGCACTGTCCTTCAGGACATCCGTTAAAATTGGGACGACACAGAGAATGAAGATTAGCATGGCCCCTGTGCAAGGATGACACGCATAAATCAACAAGTGGTCCAAATAATATAAAAACAAAAGAAAAAAAAGAGGAGCTGTAAGCACTGCAATCGGCCTGGTTTTTCTTCTTTTTTTTGCTAACTTTGTAACATTATATCCGAACTTCCAAAGTATGTGAAATCAGCAAAATGTCCTGAGTCCTGACATAGCTTTTTTTAGACCGAGAGAGGCATATAAGAAGGGCATACTCCCACCAGGACCTTACCTTTTTCAGACTGAATCGGGCAGTAATTCCACTCAGATGCATCCCAAGAAAAATCCTGGAATGTATGACTGACAGCTATCTATCAGTGACAGCCGAAGCACCTGAAGCGTTTCTCAAGCCTCGAAATTCAAGAATATTGCTACAGCACTAGTAACAGTAGGTAGGGATAATTCTTTTTTTTTTTCTTTTTTTCTTTTTGAAGGGACTATTTTGGGCAATTTGGAGCAATTAGCCCCGCTGACACGATCTCGCCGACGGGCGATGGAGAAGCGGGCATGTGCAGTGCGGTCATGCCAGGTGTTGCTGTGCGGTAATGCACGGCGATGCTGGGCATCGCTGTGCGAGGACGCGTGGCTATGTCAGGCGCTGCTGTGTGATGACATGTGGCGATGCAGGGAGTTGGCGCTGCTACGCAACGACGCAGAGCTGCTGCAGGACGACGCGCAGCTAGGCCAGGTGCTGCTGTGCAACGACGCGCGGTCATGCCAAGTGGTGCTGTGCGGTGACGCACGGCGACACTGGGCGCTGCTGTGCGAGGATGCGTGGCCATGTCAGGCACTGCTGTGCGATGACACGTGACGATGCAGGGAATTGCAGAATGGCGAAGTTGGGTGAACACTTCAACTCTCTATCTCCTAACATTTGAAAGCATTTGTAGTGCCATCTCGCTGTCTTGTGCCTCTCACGAGTGATGCTACGGGTTAGCATGCCGTGTGAGGTGGGGTAAAGCTTTTCACTAGGTCTTGCTTCAGGAGGAATCATTTGTGCTCTTCATCTTGCGCATTTTGGTGGAGAAGGTCGGCTCGTAGCACGAGGGAGAAGCGTACAGTATGTCCCATGGGATGGGAGGAGGAGTGGAGAGGGATAAGGAGTGAAGTGATATTGGGGTTCTTAGCTCGTTCTGTCATCAACCGGCGGATTGTCTTCGTATTCGCGCCATACAAGCAGCAGTATCAAGCAACAGGGAGAGGTCTTCATTATCTGTGGGGCTGATACATTGTTCTCTTCATCATCGATATCATCAGCAATGGGTTACAAATGGTGCGTCATCATGACATACAATCATTATCTCCTTTGACACATCACATCTTCTTTCTGATCTATCTCTTTCTGACTCTCGCGCCCTTTTCCTTCTTCCCTCACTTATCATCTTCCGTGCACTCTCCTTTTTCCCGTGCTAATCGGTAGCTGTCTCGTTTGTTGGATTCGCTTGCACCAAAAATGGGTGATTATTATCATAATGGATGATTTGGCGAGGGTTAGAGCGGCGGAAAAGGAAGTGTATCGCGGGAGAGAGAGGTGGGGGGAGGAGACGGGAGATGGTAGGGATGAAAGAAATGGTGAGAAAAGAAGGGAATAAAGAGTAAGAAGGGAGGGAGGGGGAGGGAGGGCTTCATTAGGAGAGGGAGAAAGAGAGACGAGGGGGAGGAGGCGGAAATCTTGTATTTCTTAATATGGATAGTTTCAATTTTTAGTATCTTCATCATTACTATAATCATCTTCATCATCTCTTTTATCAGCTCTGAATATTATCATGACTATCATCTGTAATCATATCTAATTAACAAACCAAAATATTGACCAAAATTACTATCCATAACTAATATCTCTGATTATGATCATTATTCCTATCTTTAAACTCGGAAATCTCAGCTAAGATCTGAAAGGTATCGTGAGATACCTACCATCTCTATAAAAATAATTCACTAATTAATCACTTACTTTATTCTTAACTTCTCACGTTGTTTCACATAGATTACGTAATGATCTTTCTATCTATACGAGTTTCTCGAAAATCTCCATCGTTTCCTTCAGTGTATTGGCGAGTACGTCGGGCTCTTGTCTAAATAGTTTCAAATTAATTCACTAATTCCATTGCACATTGTAATTCTCTTCAATTGCAAATGTGGTAGGGGTCAGGGAGAGCTTGGCCTTACAGGGGTTTCACAAGGCGGGGGGTGAAGCCCTGCAGGGGGTACAAGCAGAGTTTAAGGAGCACTCTATTCTGGGGCTGGGTATTTATTCCCAGCGGGGGCAGACTAGGGTAGGAGGAGACAAAGGTATACTGTGGGTGGGAATTGTATACTTTTGGGAAAGGAAGTGGGATTACACCTTGTTGGGGGTGAAGAGGAAGGATTAATTGGTCTCTTCTCATTGGCGGAGGCAACAAGGGGGTAAGAGGGATGAAAGAAGGAAGAGGAGGGGGGATAATATTTTAATCAAAATGCCAGGTCGAGCGGTCTGATGTTTTTTAATTCTTGGCGACTTCTAGTTTTCTCTTTCCATCCAGGGTATTGATTTTCAGAGAGAATATACTCTGGGCTGACATCTGCTGAGGGGTCTTAGTTCTGTGTCCTTGGTGTGCCGACGGCAGAACGACGCTGGTTGGAGCTGGGGTGCAGCCCTGTAACCTGCAATTGGCAGGGGCGCGAGGCCTTCCAGAGAGATCTGGGGATTTGCCGAGGGAGAAAGGCTTTCCACTGGCAATCTGAGGAGGGTCGCCTTGACAATCTATGGGGGGGAAATGGTCTATGGCTAGAACAGGACAGCCAAGGTAGACGTTGGCGAGGAGGATGTTGTCTCTGTGCCTCAATGTCCTGGTTTAGGGAGGACTAGAAATGGTTTTAGGATTCTGATGTTAGGCTTGCTGTTATAGCATTCTCTTCTGCGTACGGATCTGGGCCGCCCCGCCGACCGGCGCCTGCCCGGGGGAGGTCCCGGGCGGCCCGGTTGGGGACTGGGCCCCCCCAGCACACCTTGTTGGTGGGGGGTTTCCGACCCCAAATCGGCGAGATTTCGCCTCCCCAGGGCCTACCAGGTCCGACCACGCCAAGAAAACGGCGCGTCGGGCCCATGAGGCCTGTTTTTTTTTTTTTGAATTTGGGATGGCCCTCTGGCCGTCGCTCATCCATGATAGACGGCCAGAGGGCCGTTCGTTTTTAGAGGGAAAACGGAGGCCCCGTTTGAACAAGCGACTGCCTGGGGCGGCCTGCATTGGCTGTCCAAATGGGGCCTCGATACCTGCTCCAGCCGCCTGCGTTCGTCATCGAGTCGCCCGTCGTTGAAGTAGCTGCCCCTCGTTGCCATCGCCTGGGAGCTTCACTCGCCCGTCGCCCGTCGCCAGCGTCGTCGATCGCGGTGCTCCTGCCTGCCGACAACCCCTGCCACCCGTCGATGTGGAGTGCCGGTCTGTTCTTCTTCTTCTTCTTCTTCTTCTTCTTCCTCTTCTTCTTCTTCTTCTTCTTCTTCTTATTATTATTATTATTATTATTATTATTATTATTATTATTCATCTTCTTCTTCCCTCCTCCTCCACCTCCGCTCATTCTTCTGCTTCTTCTTCTCTCCTCCTCCTCCTCCCCCTCTCATCATCATCTTCTTCTTCTTCTTCTTCTTCTTCCTCCTCCTCCTCTTATACCTCTTCTGCTTTTCTTCTTCCACGACTCCTTCACTCCTCCTCCTCCCCCTCTCATCTTCTTCTTCTTCTTCTTCTTCATCTCTCGTTGTCATCCTCCCCCTCATCTTCTTCTTCTTATTCTTCTCTCCTCCTCCTCCTCTTCCAACTATCTTCTTTTTCTTCTTTTTTTTTACATTCGTTAGCGATAGGTCGAGAGATAAACGACAGGTAAGAAAAAGAAAAAAAAAAACTGCTCCGCTCGTCATCTTCTTCTTCTTCTTCTTCTTCTTCTTCTTCGCCGATCATTCTTCAGCCTCTTGTCTCCTCCTCCTCCTCCCCCTCTCATCATCATCTTCTTCTTCTTCTTCTTTTTCTTCTTTTTGTAGGACCGCCGCCATACCCCGCCACCATACCATACCGCCCTGCCGCCGCTGCCATCTTCTTCTTCTTCT